CAGGCAGATTAGACGTCATCTTAGATTGTTTTAATTAAGAAGAAGAAATATGTTAGCCCTGGCGCTCCATGTCTTGTGTATTTTTCGGATCTCAAGTGCGATCTTTACGTAGACAAACGCGGCCTCGGGTGTCCTGTATGAAGATGTTACCGTGGAAAATAATTGCTTTGGTGTCTTGAACTGTATGATAAACTGAATCAGTGACTGTCATCAAATGTTGTTTCTCTGTTCGGCGTTATTCGATCCTTTAACTAAGTGTGAAAATATGGTCAATGAAACCTCTGCCGGTATAGACGCCAGTCTTGCCCCTGTAGAAACCGGTTGTCACACGCAATATTAATGTTATACCTTAATTCCTCTCGAAGGTGGGATTGTCGTCTCGCGAATACCGACTTAGGCGCCTCTTTGCACCATACGGTTTGATCAATCACCCGCAAATCGCCAACATCTTTCATGAATGTGGAACCAGGTGCTTCGTCCCCACTCAGTAGCACCGATTCGTATCGTATCCCACTGCTGAGGGGAATCGTGAATTTGACGTTCCATGCCCAACTGGCTCAATTACCAATGATCACACAGGCGGTAAATCGATTTGTTCTTCGAATAATCGGTCCGGAGTTCAAACCGACTTGACTGAAAACGAGTCAATTGACTATCTTTCTCAATTTTTCCAACGCACGTCGTGGCTTCTAGGTGCATGGTTGTAATGACTTAGGATAGTGTTCAACTGCCATCGGTTTTCTCCATCTCGCTAGCTCTCATCATCTACCGGCGCTACCAGTCCCTCCTATGTCTCTGAGTCAGCCTTTGTTACACGCTATTGCAGATACTATGTAACCGAATTCACTCAGAGGCGTCTCCCGCGCTTTATTCAATCTGCTCGATACATCAAAACTTCATCCATACTTCATACGTCTGAAATTCGTTGGATACTTGTCCTACATTCTCTTTCCCCGGTTTGTTGTACTCCATCTCATTTATCACTCGGCCCTCCCAACTCGTCCGTCAGTGACAGCTGACGTCTCACTTCCGATTTGTGCCACGATCTCGCATGTTCTGAGTAACGATGACGAGCGCGTGCTTTCGATATCCTGCAGCCACTATCATGCTGATAGGTGCTGCATGGTCGCTTTTCCTGTTGGCTCTAACCACACAGTTCGCCAAAAATTTATTTTCCATGGCAGAAATGTCAATGTCTCTACCTTATATGCTGCACTCCATTGACCGTGGAAATGTATTCCGATGTTACCTAGCACGCCAGCTTACATTGCTATAAGCTAATAATTATTTTCAGTACCGCCCAGTCCAGATCGTACGAATTATATGTAAATGTACTGAATCACAACATATACAGTATGCATATGTGTTGCAGATACGTTTAAAACATCACTACAACACTCACCCACAACTACTGACGGCAGTTTGGCACTGGGAAATAATGACTTCACCGAGATCGCCGATAGTATGATCCAGTGCCCTCAAACTGCAGAAACCAGCAACAGCCGTCCATCATAGAGGGCGTGTACTTGCCACTATTGCGCTGCTGTATGACTGAAATATCTTGGTGAAAGCGCTCACCATGCCCATCCCTAACGGATCCCACGTTCTCAGCGAAAAGTCAAGGTGGTTGTGTCGAAAGTTAATCTTCAGTGACATTCGAACACAAATAACCTGATAGTTTGTAGTGTTTTTTATAATGTTCTTGCAATTCTCATCATTTGTTCTACACCAAAATCCTGTACACACTGCCTTGAATGATCTCCACGCTTCGAAAGCACTGTTTGCCATTATGCGGCTGTCAAGCCCAATAAGTATCCCTTCTTTGATCTTTGCATCACTGATCTCCGGAAACATTTCAGCTACTGAAACGCAGGACCATCTCGCTTGAGGGCTTTGACGAGGTTTTTAATTAAACCAACTTTGATGTGCTGTGGTGGTAGATATATATGATCAGATTGTACAGGAGGTGTATGCTTTACACTCATTTTCCCTGCAGCATACTCCATTCTCTCTGACCACTTTTCTGTTGTGTAGTGCTGTTGAGTTGCTCTACTGTCCCATAAGCACAAGAACCAGCAATATTTTGCGGCTTCCTTGCATACCTATTAGGAGTCCACTGGCTTTTAAGTCAGCACAGATGTTCCAACAGTACTTATCGTAGTTCAGTGCAGCGAGTATTTGTTACATACTTCCCTCAGTCTCATTCATATTAATGACACACACCATAGGCACAGTTGGGTACACATTTCCATTGTGGCGCAGTATGGTCTTAAGACTACTCTTGGACGAGTTAATGAACAAACGCCATTCATCACTGATATACCTCACGCCAAGCTCCTTCATCAGTCCTTCTACGTCGAAACAGTACCAAAAGGTTTCTCTCGTGTCATAGAAACCGGACAATTTAGTACGTTGCTTTCTGAATACAGTAACCTTAGTGTTTGCGGTAAGCAAGTGCCAATGCAGCAGCCGAGATGCCAGGAACTCGGCCTTATCTGGGCAAGCCCAGGTGACGTACCAAGTCATTCAGCTCTGATTGTTCAATAATACATGGATTGACATCATTAGCTTCAACATTTAAGCATTCACCGCCTTATGTACCGGGTACAAAAGCTGCAAATGACGCTTCAAATGAACAAATGTAGATTGTTTTGTCATGTGAAACAGTGAACAGCATTGACTAGGAAGTTCTGATCAAACCTGTCAATATTATTAATTTCCTTTGATTTTGATCGTCAATCGTTTTTTTAGGCTAGCTATTGGATAATGTAGGTATTTTTATTCCCGTCTTCAACCGTATATTTGGAACCACAGTGTGTGGTTATTCTCCCAGGCAATAATTGCATCACTCGTTATACTTTCTCACTCACTGTGCTTCGCATCTTCCTGACAATGCTACTCGATCAAGTTGACTACGTCTCAGTCCTTGTTGGCGCGCCTCGACAACAATTCTTAGTTGGTGATCGGCAAACTCGCCAGGTTATTTGATTTACTTGTCTCTCGTTCACGCCACAAACACTAAGTAAGTAAAAATATTTCGCGCCAACTTTCGGTCTACCATTCATCATTCATTCATTACACACGTCAGCAAGAGATGGAAATATATATTTGCCTACGAATAGGCATGAAGCCATCAAAAACCATGCGACTCAAACTAAGGTGCAGTTGTGGTTAAAAAACACAACACGGAGGAGTTCGTGGTTTTGTCAGAGAGCGAAGTACTACCCGGCTGCTCAATCCGAAATCAAGTGTTGACTTAGGGGACACCACCCTGAGCCTTTGGCCGAATGGCCTGCCCGCAAGGTCAGAGAGCGAATTCAAGGTATCGCACCCATTGGGAGTCGGTGTCGGATTGTCCAGTTCATATGCTTTTCGTTTGCCAAACAGGGGCCCAATGCTCCCCACAGTTTCAGCATTAAGTTGCTGGAATACAATGTTTCGCCAGTATGAAGCAAGGGGCAGTGACGTTATTTAATGGCGAGCCACATCCGCCATGTCACCGTGTTGTTCAACGGACATATCTGGCTTTTTATAGGGAGATTGCTTGCCAGGCAAAAATCCACCACGTTCTGGAACACTGCCGCCGAACGATTTGCTGGAACGGGATAATCCCGAATTACCCAACTGGCACCACGGAGTGGTTGTTCGGCAAACCAGCCGGAGATGGAAAGCACCTCAGTTACTGTGCCGCAATACATTAGAAATAGAGGAACAAAACATGCAGCAGATGCATGCCAGCTGCGCTACCGGTTACAGATGGTCATCGTTCCGGAAAACTACCAGCCGGCTATTATGCAGCGAAAAACAATTTTCTTATACAAACTTAAATTATGCTAAGAAATGAGATCGTGGTTGGAGGGGGAGGCTAAAAGGGACGGGGGGACAAAGAAACTCACAGCACGAACGCCATGGAGGTCGGCTCCTAGCAATGTCAGCAACTGTATCCAGCCAAACGTGTTCATCTTTCGGACCCCAACCAGGAATCAGAGACGTTCCAACTGAGGCCCCCTTCTTCCATCCACACCCCCGGCGCACAAGTAATGCATGCCGGTGGGCTGGCATGCACAACACGTGGCCGAGCCATCGAAGCCTGGTGCGTGAAATGATGGTGCTGAGCGGTTCATTTCCTTTTCCTGCGCGGTAAATGTTGTGTCGTAGCCCCACGACTGCTTCCACCCACTAACGGTAGTGAGAACACCAACGACCGAGCAACAAACAATGTTCATGCAGCACGCCAAACCGGTCACCAACCGTCTGTCTGTGCAACTCAATCACACTCAATAATTTTCAATCACACTTTCAAATTAGCGCATATCACAGGTTATGCGGAAAGGCTGGCATTCGATCAGTCAGGGCTGGTCAGTTCAAAAAGCGGGGATCGATAAGTTGCCTCACTAACGAACGTAATAAGAGGAAAGCTAATAAGCGTAAGATTCAGTGTCCATACAAGCTAATCACAAATCTGAGGCCAAAGTGAACGTATGCGGGGAACCGGAAAAGGGGGCAAGGTGAGTGGGACAAAACAACGGGGAGCGGTGGAGTATTCTTACCTCCGCTATAACAGTAAACGGGACGTCGAACACGCTCGTTGCTCACTCGGTGTTCCCACTGGCTGTGAGCACAACTGCTAAGGCACCGGCGCTCGAACGGACTCCTTGTAGCCCACCGCCAAACCCGCTGCCTTACCATCAGGTTTTGAACCAAAAGGTTTGTTTGAGGACCCTGATCGTTTTCCTGTCTAGGCCTGGGCAAGCTGACAATATCCTGCCCACGCAATACTATGAAAACTTCCTTAAACAATTTGTTTCGGTCTACTATCGTAATAGTTGGCGTTATTCTAATCTCTTGTGAATTACGACGAGGACGCAATCCGTGGGAATCGTTCTTCAATTAGACTGAAGCCATGCGTGTAGGCAGGGTAAACCCGGATCACCACTTGCACGGATACTGTGCTGTTTTTCGTCAACTCCGCACACTACTTTTTCTCTTTTCTCATTTAGTGAGCCGGCGACTGATCAATGGAGTGAATCGTTGCTACCGGACAGCAAACAAGTAACGAGCACCGACAAAACACACCTGGACGTTCCTCTTGCTGTTGGAGCGCGTCGCTCTTCTGCTGCCTCCGAATCAGGGTGAGTAAGAATTGTGAGTGATCAGATGTGTACGCTTCTGTTTTCCTTTTATGGGACTAACCGCCATTTCCGACCGGTCTACTTTGTCTACATAGCCAAAATTTCTTGCTATGTAACTTTGAACGAACTTAATGGTTCATCTGCAATCTCTACCCCATCATATCTAAAGTTCCCACCAGCATCCGACTCGGATTCATGAATCCAGCCGGCGAGCCTACCTTCTCGTTAGTTGCGAAGTTTTCCAATACTAGCGCACAATTATTCCTTTATGTGTGCAAGTAACTGTTCTGCACTACCTGATCACGGTTGGCGCGACTTGCTGTCTTCTCTCTCATCACACCAAAATGCTGACGAATGGTTCCTTGTTTCGCGCCCTTCACAAGTGTGTCAACTATGCATTTCTCTACTGAACTTGTACGTTTCTTCCGCTCTCTATGACTGCTGGTACTTCTTCTGTTACGAAATTGATATCCGTTGAGTATTTCTCCAAACTACCGGTCGATACATGGTACTTGGTAGGAGCATATTGGATTTTCGGGCCGTCCGATGTTTTCCCACTTTGTGTCCATTCAGAATATCCAACCCTCCCAAACATACCAGCTCTACTCTCCACCTCATTGGATCGCTTACATGAATCTTTTCTAAATTGATCGGTGTATAAGTCTAATAGTCTCGCTCTTCCGGACTCGCCCATCCTAACTGAACAACAAAACGTCACTAACCACTGTTATCATTTCTGTTCTTCCGGTTCTGTTATGGCCAACCTTTAGACGTTTTCAGTGTTGTGCCCTTTGTGTTCATTCCAACTGGATTCCTATTCACTAGGCTACTAATTCATTTTTCCCGCAGGCCGCACTACCCAACTCTGGACCAACTCGCTCAGATGCTCACCTCCATACTGGGGCACTTTGGGTACGTGTTGACGTGTGTGTGTGATGCTCTCATCTCTTCCCAGTGTTATTGCTTATGCGTGCTCACTGGCATTCTTATCCACAGTTCTCGTCCTCTTTTTCCGACGTGTCTAACTTTGACCTGTTGCTACGCTTGCAAATCCCGCGATTACACGCAATCGTACACACATTCTGTTGGCTACTTGTGAGCGTTAAAAGGCAGACTTCTTGTTATGTGACGCTCCAGGAAGTAAAACAAGGCCAATTTTCTTGCATACGTTTAGGGCCTATTCCATTAGACAGTTGATTTCCCAACAATGCGCGATGCATCCGTCTGCGAGGCTGATCGCTATATTTAACCTATTCTGTCGTATTAACAGCTTGTTAAAATAAAGTAAAAAGAGTCTACCACTGTCTCCAAACTGTAGTTGCAAAGTTTACACTGCGTTGTCAACAGTGTGCAGAAATCGCACAATGAACAGCCGAGAAAATAGTCAACCGGGTTCCTGATGAAAATTTGCAATCGACAAAATTTTCCTTCTTCCATCGATCTGACTCCGCCCCAGAAATTGTTCCAGCAAATGATTGACATCTTCATATTTTTGGCATTTCTTTCACTCTCGCGGTGTCGCGAAACGATCAGGAGTGGATTAAGGAGCGTGGGAAATGCAAATAAATTACTCGTGTTACTAAAAACTCAACTACTGCATCAGTGAACTCGCTCATCAATCTTCTGGGTAGAATTCGACTGGGATACAGTTTCTAGGTGTGTTTGCAAAGCTGTGTGCAGTTCGCACAACTGAATGACGTCTAATACCTAGGATATAGTAGCATATATTTGAATTTGTCTGTTTACGAAAGGTGTGTAGCATTCGACGACCCTTCGAAATCCATAAGTAAGCAGGGGCAGGTGAAATATTTTATTGTTCTAATCGCAAATATACATGTCAGGAATTACTGAGGCCCTTAAGATATTAATGTGTCTTCACAAAAATCAACTTCGTGTGTTACGGCCTCGCACCGTGTTTATCTGGTGGATGAAGTTATTGCCGTAGATCTAAGGGGATCGAGGATACAGCAGTGTGAAGAAAGATAGGGCTGATGTCTGTAGTTAGTTCAGCAGTGTACAGACCAGAAGGATAGCATCTGGGAGGCTAGTTTTAGAAGCTGACGTGGCAATAATGCTGGTTGGGGTTTTTCAAAGCGAAGTCGAAAGATGATTGAAAAATAGGAAGAAGTGGGAAGCAATGTTCAACTGCAGTGTAAAGTGCATCACAAAGTACGCTTTTCCTACTATCTTTCGTCGTATCAGTGTTCTGCACGACCGATTGGTGAGTTTTCTGCACGACGTAAGGAGATGGGTACTAGGTCTGACGGGATAGCGGAGTAGTTATGTGCACTTTTTGAACATTGGCCGGCCCTTAGAAACATGGCTCCTTTATCGTTATCTGTCGTCCAAGTAGTTTAACTGCATTCGGCAGAAGGGCGAATTGAGTAAGTTCATTTTGAGATTAGGTATTGTTTGACTTACTCTCACTAAGTGTGCACATCGATTCCATGTGGTTAATATACCGTGAAGAAGTTCGCACATACTTACAATGTAAACTTTCGCGGAGAAAGACTGTTCCTCAAGGTCTAACCACCATCCTCCATAGAATTTAGCCTGCAGGTTGGGCAGAAGCATACCGTGCTTATCATCATATCATAATCCGTAAATGATCGTTGTAAATGCTCCAATGATGGCAAAACACTTCTGTGCATGTGGCTGTAGGTGATTTGGCCCCCCTACTCCAGTCGGTTGACGCAACTCAACCAGAAAGCAAGCTAGGATTTGCACGAAATTATTGTGTGTTTGCTTAGCTCTAAAACGCGTTTAGCCTCTGATAGTTGTTTTTGCGAATGAGCTGAGCGCTTTGGTGGACCAATATAACTTACAGCTGTGTGTCGCTGATTAGTTCTCGTTATCATGACCTACGCCGTCATGTCCATGTTCCCTGGTAACCCAACTTGCCAAGTCTGGGCCTACCTTTATCTTGATTAATGCTAGGCCGTTACCCGCCTGATCTATGGAATTCTGGTCAAATTGCACAGGCGGCGTTTGATTCACTTTCTGTCAACTAGTCCCATGTCGGCTTTATCCAATTATTTGACCGTTGGCGCGCATTCATAAATAAATAAGTAAATGGTATATTCTCAGTGAAACGAGGCACATCGATGAAGGGGCGATCCAATATGCATACAGGCGTAGCTGCTTTGGAATATTAAAACCTTTCGTTTCAATGAAAGGTATAACTGAAATATTCATAGTTCATACGAGTAAGCATTTTGTCACGTAATAGTTCGACCCAGGAACATGATGGCGCTAAAGAGGAAAAATCAGTCCTAGCTGCTGCGTCAGTATTCAAGTTCGGCGTGATTTCACCATGTGGTAATTCATGAGCACAGGAGCCAAACTTAGATTTCGGTGCAATCAATGTCCATTAAATGCTCGGAATGTTTGGTGCTCCGTCAAAGCATCCTCCTTAGTGAAAACGGTTGCACAGGTTGCATGTAGAAGTCGATGACTGCGTCGGTGTGAAATGTCCAGCTGTGACTTTATTCAGTGACGAGTCACATCCGCCACGTCGCAGTGCTGTTAAGCGGACATTTGTGGCTTTTTATAGGGCAAACGCTTGGCAGACAAAAACCCACCACCTCTTGGAACACTGCCGTAGGTTATTTTGAACAGTAGCGCAAGCTGGCGATACATCCTACAGACAGATTTTGCATCCGCTTATTCGCAGTCGATTGACGGCCAAATACTTGGCTGATTGACCCATTAGCTTAGTCATGATCCGGCAGTAGTCGTTGAAACCGGTCGAAGATGCACAAGAGTCGTATCGAGTGATGATTGGTGCATGTGAGTAATATATCGACTAAATAGTGGCTGGCTTCTTCTGTGATATACTTATCTGGGTTGTACAACCTTGTCCAGCTATCCACGCTGGACTTGTCATGTGGTTCGTAAGTGCAGTTGGTCCTTGTGGCTGAATACGTCCTTATCAGGCGAAAATGCTGTTCGTTTGTCCAATCCTGGATTGTTACGAAGTACTTAGTCCGCAGAATAGGATCAGAATTTCTTCAAATATAAGTGATAATTAGGTGTGATTATCTCCATGGTCAAGTAAAAACTCCATGAAAGGCCATCAAAAAGTCATTTGTTCAAACTCCGTGGAGTAGCAGCAAAGCTGTCCATTAAATCCCATCGGTAAAGCTCCTATTGAATAGCGAATCAGAATGTCCTTCCGGAAATGTAAGGCACCGAACGCACCTGTTCGAACGCCAGTGAGAATAAGCAAAGCTGTCCGTGGCAGTGAAGGTAACCACGACATTATAATCTGTTATCTGTTTTGGAACAGGAAATACATGTAAACATATTATTCCAGGTGAGTAAGTTGTGATACTGTAATTACGAGGCGCGCTAAACGCATTTGTTTGGACCCGGTAAACGTGGCATCAACAGAATGGCGAAAAGTACTCCATTTGGAACGATGAGAGGGTTCTTCAGAGGGCTGGATTCTTCTTCCTATCCAGGAGAAAGGATCAAGTGTTCAAGCCAACTGGCTATTGAGAATGGGTCAGTCAGGCCTAGGGGACAAACCCTCTTGCGTCGACCGATCTATCTGTGGAAATCTCGGGAAAAAGGGGCAGTGAACAAGAGGCAGCCAAGAAGCACTATCGAAAAACTGATGGCATGCAACGGTGCCTACCTATGTGCTACTCTGAAGCCTGTGTAATTTTGTTTAGTATACATGATTTGCAGGTTGTTCTTTACCTCACGTCTTGAGTGTGGCTCAGACTGCAACTACTATGTAGGAAGGAGGTTCTGCACCCGCATGGTCAGAAGACCGACATACCAAAGTGTGTTTACAAAGTTGAGCGCATAATACGGTTGTTGGAAACATGGATAAACTGATGATGATAACAGTCGTCTGAATGCGAGAGGTGGAACTAAGACCAACTAGATTGAAAGGATAACACTTGCGAAGAGAACTCTTCGGCAATTCACTTCAGGCAACTACACTTACAAGACAGATAAGCGTGCAGGTAAGCGAACGATGGGGATGTGATTAGTTGACCGAAGTCGGTCAATAGTCCACTCGATACAGCAGGCGTCATGAGTCGCGCGAGCACGCGCGGAGACGCACACGCACAAAGCACAGACGCGTTGGCCGGCAGGTCTACAATGGTCACTATCAGTCGTAACCGCGGTCCGACATTACGGCCACGGCAACAGTATAGATTGTATCAGTGTTCTCTGTTTGCACAAATCCGGCTGAAGTATTCTGATTGCAATGGCTTCAGCGGTGGCCAATAAGCGCTTTCTGATTCCTTTAGGGTTGCGCCTCGGTGCCGTGTAGACTACCTTGAATGCGTCATTAGTCCGAATCTGATGGTCGGTACTAAGCACATGTTCAAAGATTGAGCTGCGGACATTCTTAGCCGTATCATGCAGGGCAGTACTCCGCTATCCGCCTAGATGGACGCCTGGTCATATGCCCGAGGTACCTTGCACCACAGGTTCAGGTAAATTGATATAGAACAAAAGATTCGGAACGAACCGAGATTCTATCTTTGAGGCGTTGGGTGACGAGCGGAATAGTTTCAGCAAATATATGAACTTAAGTGACCGGATAAGTCTTGCTCACCACGAGTGATAGTCTCCTATTCAGTAAGTCGAAAGCGATATCTCCTTTGAAAGGAACAAAGGAAAACATCCTTCTTTCTTACAGTCGGTACCGCGGTTAATTTGATCAGAAACAGCAGAATGCTTTTTGATAAACGTCGCGGGATATCCGTTGCGTTGCAGCGCCTTTTGAATAAAGTGCATTTCCGCTTCTAGCGTTTCTGGATTGCAAAATCTTGCGGCCCGAAAGTACAGACAACGCACGGGGTTTATGTTGTACTTAATGGGCACAAAACGAAGAAAATGCGTGTACTGACCAACCCAGATTGTCTGACGGAAGATTCTTCTCTCGAGCGAGCCACAGTATGAACTGATAATTCTTTGCGCAGAGACTTACCTATACGTTTATGTATCTTGTAATTGTAGTTGCCTGAAGTGACTTGCCGAAAAGTTTTGTCTTTGCAAGTGTTATGCTTCTAATATCTGAATAGGCATAATTAATCAACTAGATTGAGATGAAAAGCGTTGAGCAATCAGTTCGTAAGGCAACATTCCAAGAGGAAAGGGAGATGCAAGGCATTGGCAAGGAGCAAATACATGCGGACAGAAGTGCGATGAGTATTCAGTGAGAATAATGATGTTGAAGCGCTCAAAATTCCATAATCTGAAATCCGTCAGAATCGTGAGAAATGGGTCACAGTGGACCACAACTGTGCCGTGCATTGTGAGTCCTTAGCTCGGGTACGGTCAGATGAATAAGGGATGAAGTAAACACATACAGCAACATCCAG